GTTTTTACGCTTGGATCGAAAGTATTTAAATTAGAGTATAAAACAGTAGCGAAAAAGTATTCATTATTGTTCTGCAATCCATTATTTTCTTATTTTACTGAACAAGCATAAACATACGTACGAAGAATGGAACATGTATAATCAGTTTTAATATGACTATTACTTTTGGTAGTGAAATTTTGTAAAGTTTTTGAGAAAAGATCTGAAATAAACCTGCTTCTTGTAGTTCTCCTTAAGTATGATACACCAGTAATTCGGAATAAATTGAGATTATTACAGGTTGCCATTAAGAATTTTCTACTAATCGCGGTATATAATTTTAGGGATAAGGACAATCCATGCCTTGTTCATTCAATTTCATAAGCAAAAACTATTGAATGACCTGCATTAGCTCACTCGATTTGGCATAAGAATGGAATTCTGCCATTGATATATTTTCCAAGGGAACTAAAATGGGTGCATCTATCTTTCCTAAGTATAGTAGTTATGTTTGTATTTTTTTGCTAGAATATCTACTGTTTGTGCATTTATCCATTGGCTATATAGAGCATACCGTAGCTGATTCATTTTTATTCAACCCTGTAGATAAAGTATGACGAACTAAAATTACTAAGCGATGTAAATTAAATCTCCGGATTTACTAAACAATTTTGTCAACCCTCTAATTGAATTCAATGTATTTTCCATTGTACCGGCGATTGAGATTGTTTCGAAAACTATCTTGGAGGCATATGCTATTGTCACTTCCTGGGTAGAAAACTCCTGGAGACGTTCCAACTGAGCAATATATAATAAATCAACAACGTCATGACAATATGAACTATAAGACTTTGAATAATTCTCCAAATTGAATAGCTGTTATCTTTTACCATGAAATCGCGTAAAACTCTGTATTTCCTATATCCCATCATGCTATTCCTCATAACTGGATTGAAGCATCGTTTTTAGTGCCGGCGGTGCCCTGTAAAATTTATAATTTACCTTATTTTCATATAGAGGGATCAATTATTATACGGAAGCATCCTAAATTGATCTATAGTCTATAATTTTTGGGGCCTTATTCTTTTAATACTTTCTTTAGAGTCAACATTTAGTTGTAATGAATGGTATTTTTCGCAGACAAAACAATTCGCAAGGAAGTGGGAGGGCTTCTTCGCCATAAATAATATATATAAATTGGTTCCAATGTACTGCACACACTCTATATAGAAACTATTCGGAGCAACAAATAGTATGCAACCTTGAATTAACCACTTGTTTACCTACTTTAGCAGCACCTTTAATCAGGAATCAACATATTGATATGGCTAAAAACATGGATGGAATAAAGTCTACCATATTTTACATCCATCTATCATTTATTATCATATTGGTGAGTAAAAATTTTGTTTTGTCCGGAAATCTAATTTGGCTTTCAAATCAATTTTACGTTTTTATCCTCTGTTAATGAATTTTATATCACGCTTAATTCCATTAACTTTATGCAAGATCTGTAGATACTTATTTAGATAATAAGAGTAAATTACGTTAGGGTTAAGGAATAAATTCGTGCATTCTGTATTTACTAGCAATCATTAGAATGCACGAAAAGTAAAACGTTTACGTGATTGAATGTCTTATCTCAAAAGCTAAGTTTTACTTTAAACTCAATCAGTAATTTATTTTTAATGTAATCGCATTTTATCACCAATTTTCTTACTTACTCCCGAAAATGGCTTTCAGGTCTTTGTCTATGTAACCTTTTATTCACTGATTAATTGCTTTAAGTTTTGGCTTTTAACAGACAAAACTTCTATTGCAATACTTTATAGCAATGGATCAATTAGAGTTTACGATTTAGTCAGATTTTGAACATTCTGAATTTCATTGGCAAATTTCCTTCATAACAAAATTTTATTTCCTGATTAAAAGAAAGATATATAATTTGTCAGGCATATTTTAGAGAGATTTAAGTGATTTAATATGCAAAAGCGGAATCACTTCGAATTCTAAATTTTTAGTCATTATAGCGTATTTTAGAATGCAGCTGAAACTTGATTTAGCACATTACCACTCAGATTATAAATTTTTTCGCATCTATTTTCTTACTTGCGCCGCTTTACCCTAAATAACTACTGCATAAATAATCAGTAACGCTATACTTGTTTATTAATTTTGCTGTTTTAGCAAACCAAATAGTAAAATTTCTATTACAAGGGCAATGCTATTCTAGCGTCATGTATGTTTGCCATAGATAACATTTTAGTTTGAATGTTAGATAAAATTTTAGTCTATCAGTACTTGACTGTTATATCTAAAAGGGGTAAATTATCATGAATTGAGTATATCGATTTTACTTTAAATGCACGGAAATAAGGCTATCAGTACATAGCAAAGTAATATATTAAAACCCATCTACAGCTGTATAGAAGCAGTAAAAGATTTATCAATCTTGTTACATAATAGAGCTTCTCCATAACTTCATAGTAGCGTAGTGGCTCTTTAATTGCATACATAGCGCAAACTAAGATTTATTAGTTTAATTAATTAGATTTGATGTTAAATCGGTGTTTTTTCCCCGCTATGAAATATGGATACATAAACTTCTTGCAGTAAATTGATGCAGTTTCATATGTAAAATATATACTACTGGACTGCATAATATACACATGCTAGGTTTTTTCAGTTTCACTTGATTTACTAGAATTATTCAAATATCACTCAACTTACTAACTAAAGGTTGTAGTCTATTAAAAGGATACTGTTTACAATCATAAAGAGCACTGGTACAAATTAATGCGTGGATTTGTAAAAACTATAATTGATCAACATTTTACATATGCGCATCAGAGCTATCTTCTTTGGAACTTGCACTAGCAATATTTGCATAGATTGTGTCATGCTTAGCAACGCCTTTTTTTATAATAAATCAATTAATTTTTAAAATAAATTACTGAACAAAGCTCTTATTCAGCCGCTGTAGGGACCTATCAGCGAAGTAGTAAACGAGCTTCCGGGTGATAGCTTAATTTGTAATAAATGATCTACTAATAATAAGTAAAACGTAGGAATGCTCTTGTCTGTTGACCGTGCTATTTTGTAAAAGAAGTGGTCAGTAGATTTTCTGTGGAATACTATATGCTGTATTTTAGATAGGAGTTTACCGCACCTAATGAATTAATGCAGTAAAGCTTTAATCTATTCATTGCATGAACTATCCGTAATTGTCGAACATAAGCTTTTATCAGATTATTCCGCTATATGATTTTCTTTGGATCAAATCATTCAATTTCGTTCTTATAATTTATCCTGAGAGTACGAATTATTACAGTTACTCACAAAAGTCTTATAGAATGAGCCTCGCTTGAACTAACGTGGATCATCTAAATTCCGAGCATCTTGTTTCGTTCATACTCCACAACACGTCTAACCTTATAAGAATGCTTGAATATCAACTGTTGCTTATGTTTCCAGTTCGGATAGCTCTTTGAAGCAAACGATTAGTTAATGTATTATAGAGATAAAATTCAAGTTTAGCTGATAGCCTAATAAAATAAGGAATCTGTGTATTCGTAATTGTAGATTACATCATAATGTGCAGACGTAACATATAGTCAAAGTGTATCTATAGGTATAAGCTCTTCTTAATTATTTATGGAAGAAGAATGATACACTTTATTTACCTTATTGTAAAGCAAGCACATTCAACGTAGTTAAGTATAAACATAATAATAGTTCGAAAATAGTTTGGCAGAACATCAAAGAGAGATATGAAATTAATAACCAAGTAATTACTAGTAATCTTGCGCAATTATTCAACGTAATACTAAGATAAAATCAAGACTTGTGGTAACTGATGCCGTTATGTAATACAGATACAATATCTATTCGTAATTATAGCTGCAGATTACGTCATACTTTATACTCGCATCATATCGTCAAAGTTTATCAATAGGTATAAGCTCTCTGTAATTATAAATAATTAATAGAAGAACGTAGCTCTTTATATACCTAACTGTAAGTTCAATACTTTCAATGTACGCGTAGTTTACTCGCAGCGCCAAATTAATTAGTGCTTGGGTTTTGCAACCCCTTAGGTTCGCAATCATGTAACTCAAAATCTGAGTTATTAAAATCGAACAATCTCTAGCATGACATAAGATCGGGTAAATACCGTGTTTAACCTTGAAAGTATCGTTATCAATAGAACACTTGACAGGAGATGAATTCACTTTTCTTCCCTCATAATAACAGTCGACAGTGGCTAAGATAATCCGGATAATCGACTTAGCCCCCACGAGAACATTTCCATATTATCTAATAGTTATACGCGTATTAAGGCATTACACAAAAACACTACCTTATATAGCCGACTACTGCAGCATTATGCACACATAGTACAAACAGTATAAGTACACCGTTTCATGAAATTACCTTATAAGCATAGTAGACTATTCCACTTCTTAATGCTACCGTACTTAAATTACTACCATAATTAGCTGAAAAGCTACACGCAGTAAAGAGCAATGGCCTCATAAGTATTTCAAGAAAATAATTGAAATTTGCATCTTATTTTTTATTGAATACAGTCTGTATCTTTTGAGATACTATATCAAAAGTGCTTAACGTATTTATCAAATCTTCCATCTATACTTTCATTTTTATTTATTTGCAATCTTATCCCATATACTTTTTCGTAAAATTAAAGGTGTTTCACATATATCTTTTCATGTATTTTTAATCGTTTTATTCTGTATATAAGGTAGGGTTCAATTTAATTATAAGGGTATTCTGTAGAAGCTCGTGAACCTTTAGGGTGTTTACAGGTTAACTTAAAGTGCTGTTCGTGAAATTTAAGCGGGTTTCGCTAGATAGCCATAATTGAATTAATAACTGTTTAATATACATCAGTGCTCCAAACGAGATAACAACATGATTAATTAATTTTCTTTCGTGTCTTTAACATTAATTTTTAGTTAAAAGACGAATTATGCTTCGGAAATCAACAAGGCAATCTCACTATGGATTTAGGAATTTTTACCAATCCTGGGGATAAAATCACTGATCGTAAACGTTGTGATGGAACTAAGTTAAACGCTTGCGAATACGAATTTCGGTTCCAGTTGGGTACTACTTCTAATCCAACGCAATATTGGTCTTTTACCACAATGGTATTTAATTACTTTGTCCATAGCGGTTACAATTTAAGCAAACATAAATTAACTGAAGATGGGCGTGTTAAATTGCCTGTTACTATTCCATTTAATGGAGATTGGCCGGTAAGCTTTAAAAGATCGCAATATATAGTATGTAGCTACTATCACTGATATCCGATTATAAATTTGAGAAAATTTTGAACAGATAACCAGTATTTTTTATAAATAAATTATAGATTGATACGATAGGGTATAAATAATGCCTTTAGATCTATGAGATTAAATGCGCCAACTATTTTATTTGGATATATACCTTGCAATAATACCTGTACAGAGAAATCTTCAGGTCAAAATAGGTATTTACGATCGAGATGGTGATACTCCTCCGTATACGTATGAATTTCTCGGTCAAATTGACGAGCCACTAGCGATTGATGCTGGCACAACAGTGCAAAAAACACTAGCTGCGAAACCTAGAACAGTACTAACCCTCTCTGTAAAATTTACAGTTACATGCATTAGTCCGTACTATGGTATATCTTGTATTGCTGGTGAGTAGTCATTTATACACATTTAAAATTAAACAAGGGTTGCATACTAGTAACAAACTAAAGCACGTGACTGATTTCAATTATAACGATGTCCTTTCATATGTCTTAATCAGTATCGTATTAAAGTTATAAATCAATAAATAGAACAATTTAATTTAGTTCGTATAACTTTTATCTGACTCTAGAACTACTTTTAGATATCGAAATCGATGATTCAATTTATAATACTTGTATAATTCAGGTGACAATGAGTGTGCTTCCAATCCATGCTTAAACTCAGCAACGTGCGTTGATGGAGTCAACAGTTATACATGTCTCTGTTCAAAAGGATGGACAGGCAGCCGTTGTGGCCAAGGTAGTATATATTTTTTATAACTTTCAACATGTACTGTACTTCACAGCATTTATTTAACTATTGACTTTTCTGAAACAGTTACGGTAATCTTTTACGACTTTGTATGTTTCGTCTAGATTTTAACGAATGCTCTTCTAATCCATGTTTAAATGCAATCAATTGCACTAACGGTATTAATAGTTACACCTGTCACTGTCAAACCGGCTGGACTGGATATCAATGTGGACAAAGTTAGATACATTATAAGTAATCTTAGTAAAGTACAATATTGCCCTATAACTTATTTCTTATTTGACTTAGAAATTAGTCACTGCTTTTCCAGTTCATGTTTAAACGGAGCCAGCTGCATTAACGGCGTTAATAACTATACTTGTCACTGCCTGACTGGCTGGACTGGAAATCGATGCGAACAAAGTTAGATAGATAATTAATTTTAGTAATATAAAATATTGATAAGTAATTTATTTACTTAAATGACGTAGATATTGATGAATGCTCTTCGAATCCATGCTTAAATGAAGCTAACTGCACCGATGGCATTAATAAATATACTTGTCATTGTCTAGTTGACTGGACTGGAAAGCAATGCCAACATAGTTAGTAACATAATTAAAAGTTCCTCAATAATACTTAATACAGTTCGGTAATTTTCTTGCTAATTTGGCGCAGATGTTGATGAATGCTCTTCTAATCCATGCTTAAATGGAGTTAACTGTACTAATGGCATCAATAATTATACATGTCAATGCTTAACTGGCTGGACAGGGGATCAATGTGATCGAAGTTAGACATATATAAATTTTGGTAATATGGCAGCCGCAATTATTTCTAAGTTCTCAATTGCATATTTTACTATAGATATTGATGACTGCGTCTCTAATCCATGTTTAAATGAAGCTAACTGTACTGACTTGATTAACAACTATACCTGTCATTGCTTAGCCGGCTGGGAAGGGGCACGGTGTGAACGAAGTATGATATATTTAATTTTATTGATAAAAAATGATTTTTCCTTGATGCATTTCGCTCATTTATTTCACATATTAAATTTCTATCCCAATCCATCTTTAAATAAAGCTACTTTCAATTTGAATACGTATAGTTTTAGCCATAGAAATTCATTTTAATAGCAAGTAGCAATTGATAATATTAAAGAATAATTGAAATGCATTATTTAGATACCGATGAATGCTCCTCTAATCCATGCCTCCATGAAGCGTCATGTATTGATGGCAATAATAGCTATACATGTCACTGCGCAGCTGGATGGACTGGTGATCATTGTGAACAAAGTTAGGGAGACTGTTCAAACTTTATAAATGAAATTAAATTATATATATTATATTTATTAATTAATTCTGTAAGAAACTGCCTATATTTTTGAATTAGTGACATATTTTAGCTTTTGTAATAATTATAATTTCAATGCACCTCCATGTTTTCGCTTAGATATTAATGAATGCTCTTCTAATCCGTGTTGGAATGAGGCAACATGTGTTGATTTGATAAATGGCTATAAATGTCATTGTGTAAATGGATGGAATGGTAGTCTGTGCGAACAAGGTCGGATCTTTGCTTTAATACATCATGCAAAAGAAACATCGATAAATGCAGCTAATTTTCAAATTAAAATAAGAGAACTTCTGCTCTAAATAATATTATTTTGTCATAAATTGTTTTTGATGAATTAAAATGTGCATTTCGTTGCTGATGACTTTTCACTTTTAAAATTGTAACGGAAGGAAAAAATAATTGATGGAGTTCGTTAGACAAATCTCATTCTTACTGTAGTCTTTCATAGAAAATTAATTCACTTTCCTTGCTATAGTAGATAATGAATCATAGATATCGATTATTTTGTAGAAATTAATGAATGCACCTCTAATCCATGCTTAAATGGGGCTACCTGCATTAATGGCATCAGTAACTTTACCTGTCAATGTCAGTTTGGATGGAATGGGAATATGTGTGAGCTAGGTAAATCACTGTTTTACAATTCTAAGCTGCAGTCAATTAAGGCGCTGATACTACTCCGCTCTCAGTATGAAGATATATTTTAATATTGTTTAAACTTTAATATTTAGATATTAATGAGTGTGCTTCTAATCCATGCTTACATGGAGCAAACTGCTCGCATGGTATTAACAGCTACACTTGCGAATGTGCCCATGGATGGAACGGCAGTCGCTGTGAATATAGTGAGTATAAGTACAACTAATTTTGATATCATAACTTTAGTTCGCGTTATAGTTATTAATTAAAAAGATAAAATTTGGGTTCAAAAATCCGTGCTAAGCTTAGTTCAACTTAATGATTTAGATGTTAACGAGTGTGCTATAAACAATTGCCTGAATGATGCTATCTGTATTGATGCTAACAACACTTACTCTTGCTGGTGTGAGGATGGATGGAATGGCAGCCATTGTGAACATAGTTAGGATGATTTCAATTACTTTCACCTGATAAATTATTTAGCGATTACATATTAGAACAAGCTACGGCATCACTTCACTAATTGTTTAAATTTTTCCAGATATTGATGAATGTATATCCAACCCTTGCCTTAATGAAGGAACATGTAACGATGGTGTTAATGGTTATTCTTGTCAATGTATCGAGGGGTGGGGCGGAAAATATTGTCAAAATGGTAAATAAATTTAATAGCAAAATCTTGGCTACATCATATCCGCAGAAAATTTTTCATTATAATTTGTAATCGTGCTTGAAATGATATCGATTTATCGTTTTTCACAAAATATATTATTCATTTCCGGTTCGTTGGTATCCGAGATTTTGGAATTAGTTTATATTGTAACGTTTAGAAACCTTTGTCACGTAATAAAGTATTAATTAGCATATGTCACGATTAATACTATTGATCCTGCTATATTCAAACGCCTAATGCATGGGCGCATTGTACTATTTAGATACCAATATTTGCCGTAGAAGTAATCCTTGCGAAAATCATAGTGTTTGCCGTTACACTGGAGATTACAACTACAACTGCAGTTGCCTACCTGGCTACGTAGGAAAAAATTGCTCTAATGGTTAGTGCTTTCTTGCATTCAAGAAGAAGACAGCCGAATATATAATATTCACTTAATGCATTTTCTATCATAACTAATAAAAGTGTCTGTTTTGACAATAAGATACTTATCTATGTCGTTCAAGCTCACCTTGCCAAAATGGTGGTACATGCCAAGATAACGCAGCTTATGACTATTCTTGCATATGTGTGTCAGGCTATACAGGGCAAAATTGCTCTCAAAGTAAGTCAGTACTTCATTCATGGATCAAAAATCGTATAATCTTTATCAAACTAACATCCTACTGCTATTTGTTTTTTACCTTAAGATATCAAAAATTGTGCATCTACTCCTTGTAAACACGTTAACGCTACTTGCCTTAATAGCCTTAATAATTACACCTGCGTATGTCCTTCAGAATGGACAGGCCGAAATTGCGAGCTCGGTTATAATCGATGATAGCGACATAATTTATCTATGAAATGGGATAATGTTATGTAAAGCTTACAACAAATCTTACTGTGGATTATTTAATAAAAATCTCGCTCATTTAATCTGCGCTAAATTTATAGATACCAATCCATGTCGTACAAGTAACCCCTGTAACAATCAAGGAATCTGCAAGTATGTGACAAATTACATCTACAATTGCAGCTGCTTCTCAGGATATATTGGAATGGATTGTGAGGAAGGTAAAATATTAAGTGTCAAGTCGGAATGTATTTCTCTTGATTCTTAATATTGCGAACTTATTATAATAGCGTTCGTTTATATTAAAGATGTGCAATTGTTGTAAGTGCTGTATTACTGATTAGTTACCGATTAGTTGTTGTGATATATACCAATCACGAAATTCCAAATTTTAGAAAAATAAGGGCTTTATTGAATCTTATATAAAGATTAACTACACAGCTCTACTCTAGCCGAATACTACTTCTAAAGACTTCTAGAACGAACTAACAGAATAATCTAAAGTTGCATGCTTTTATACTTTTCGTAGCATTCGCAGCTACAATCCGCATGGCAACCTTTTACCTTATTTTACACATAGTTAAATTATTCTTAGTAAGACTATTCTACTGCGGACCATCATTAATCCAATATGGATACGACTACAGTACTTACGTAGACATTATTCACACCAGCCAAAGTACAATGAATTAACCATATCCTAATATATGATTTACAGTTCTATTTTTACCTATAGCCATATTAGTAACTTAACAGCTTACTGTATATAGTCATCTGTACTCTAGCATAGAGTCTCTACCACTACAGTCTATAGTTACAGCTACCAAATATCTCTTAGGATAAATATCTACCGTACATTATACTACACATGGCTAACAGTCTACAATCACAATACTAAGTTACATTACAGTTGTCTTATTATTATGTAATCTTTCTTGTATCTAGACGTTAATGTCTGCAGAACTACGACACCTTGCGGCAATGGTAGCGCCTGTACTTTTCTTGAACCTTATCAATATAATTGTACTTGTAAATCTGGCTATACAGGAAAACATTGCTTACAAGGCAAGATAATATCTGTCGAATTATTGCAATATAATAATAATAAGCGTGCTAGAATGAAAACTTTCTTAACCTGTGCTAGGGCTATTTGTTCCATTCATACTTTAGATATCAATGAATGTGTATCTAATCCTTGCAATAACCAAGCTACATGCATCAATGAGGTTAATGGATATCGGTGCCAATGTCCACGAAATTGGATTGGTATTCATTGCGATACAAGTATGTTGAATTCTAATTTGCAAATTGGAAAATTGTAATCGCAAAGAACAATGACGACAAAAATTTATGGCTGTCAAAATGCATACACTTGTGCCGTATGATTGAACAGATTTAATAACTTGAGATTTATTCACTACATCTTTATAATATTTTCTCTTTGTAGATGTTAATATATGTAATAGAAGTGATCCATGTGAAAACGGAGCTGCATGTCACAGTTTAGGAAAATTCTCTTATAACTGCACTTGTAGTCAGGGATATGCTGGCGTAAATTGTTCTGAAGGTTAGGGAAACAATTTTTTAATAGCATAATTGATTGATAATCACTAAAGTGCAAATGATGACTTACGGTACTTAAGATACGAATTTGTGAACAGATACTAATGTATGTCGTATGGACCATCCTTGCCAAAATGGAGGAGAATGCCGGTATATCGAAGCTTACATTTATGTCTGTATATGTCCGCCTAAATACACTGGCCAAAACTGTACTCAAGGTCAATATAAAATTACAGTTATTAATTATGCAACTCCAATCACGAAACGATAATTCATAAAAAATCATCCTATAAAGTAATTCGGAACTTGATTCTACCATTTTCTTTAAACTATATATCAATAAAATCATTTCTTTAAATGAAACTGTAACTAAAAGGTTCTTATTGGTATTGCAATAGACACCGATTTATGCCGAACTGTACAACCATGTCAAAATGGAGGAATTTGTCAATTTATCGATCCGTTCACTTACAATTGCAGCTGTAAATTTGGTTTTACTGGCATCAATTGTTCGGATGGTACAGTACCTTTTATTAGCAAAGAAATATCCATGCCATCTTTATTTAATTATCATGTTGTCATTGGATTACTGTAGATACCAACATTTGTTTAGCGGATTCACCTTGCCAAAATAATGGTACATGTACTAACTTGGGTGATTACCAGTATAGATGTACCTGTCCATCTGGTTACACTGATCAAAATTGTAGCCGAGGTAGATGTTACGGTGTTGCCTTGTCATTAGGATAGTTTAATAAGTACAGTAGTAGCTAGTATGGAGAATATCCATATTTGTAGTGCTAGGTAAGATAAGTGATGCCTTAACGTGGATGATATTTGTAAATAGTTCATTACATATTTGATATTGATTGTTATTGTGTGATAGATAGCAGTAAGATGATTTAAGTTCTAGTTGATGATAGCTGAATTAGACAACCTACGAGCTTAGATTAAGATTAAGTATGAGTAAGAGATTCAAAATATTTACTGATAGAAAAGCTATGTAAGGAGCACCTCAGTTCGAGATATTTCTCCTAGTAAGGTATAATAACAATACTGTTGTTGTTTACAAATTAGACGGTTCCTATATAAACGGGAATATTTGAGTTGAGAGTGTGGTAAAAAGTTGTAGATGTATCTTTGCTAATAAAAGTTTCATCTTTACAGTCTTTTGCTGTGTAGGTTTAACGTTAAGTAAAAGGGCGTTTAAGTCAGTAGTTACTTATAGACTTTTACTATACGTTACCTTGTCGCAGAAGTGAAATTGTGACAGTAGAATATAATTGACTACCTCAAATTTTGATCAAAGCGCTAAATTATTCTTATTATATGATTAGTGTGAGAACTATTTTTTCCTTTGTTAGATATTAATGAATGCCTATCAAATCCATGCAAGCATCCAGAGTCGAAGTGTAGTGACGATATTGGAAGGTACATATGCAAATGTCCTCCAGAATGGACAGGCAGGCAATGCGAAACGCGTAAGTTAAATCGTTAAGGCTGAGCAGTACTATAAATATTTGTATTTAATTTAAATGTTGATTGCAATCACAATTGGTAAATTGATTACTTAATAAATATTCGTATATGTTTATTACGACATAAAAAAGAAGTCTTCATCAGCTTGTCACTGTAAATATTGCCACAAATAATTCATTAATTGTTAGGTTTAAATCTTTAGGGGCAAATATATGCCACTCATTTAATCCATGCGAAAACGGCGGAACTTGCGAATATAGTGGTCATTACTCTTATAATTGCACTTGTCAGCCGGGCTATACCGGCGCAAATTGCTCAGAAGGTGATATGTAGCATTTTTATTTATTTCTATCTTATCTTATAAAACAACTGACGAAAAATATTATATACGCTTATTTTATCAGATACATTTGCATGCCGGGTTATCTCGCCATGTCAGAATGGCGGAATTTGTCACAATATTAGAGATTTTAATTTTCGTTGTCAGTGTGTTTATGGCTTTACTGGTCCAAATTGTACGGAAGGTAATTCAAATCTCGAAGTACATTCTTCGACCTAGAAAAAATTTTACCCAATAATTAAGATTTTGGCCTCAGCTTTGCTACTATTAATCGGCAGATATTAATGAGTGCGAATCAAATCCTTGTACCGATGGGGCCATAGATTGTATCAATGGAAACAACAGCTATATTTGTCAATGTAAGGTCGGTTGGACTGGCAGCCGTTGTGAAATAGGTACTAAATATAAAATGTATTTATGATAACCTTGGTAGTAATTACAGCAGTCAATAGATGACAAAAAATGGTAGTGTTTGCTTTGCATTAATCAAGCTAAGTAGTTAATGGAAGAAACTGATTGTCGCTACTTGGATTAATGTTTAATATTGAAATAACTACCTAATTTTATCGTCACTTGTATAGATGCTGACCAATGCCGTCAGCACAATCCTTGCGAAAATAATGGTACCTGCCAATATTTAGCGGAGTTTTCATATAGCTGTAATTGCAGCAACGGTTATACTGGAAAAAACTGCTCAGAAGGTATATTGTTTTATTCTCCTTTATTCCGTATTGAAATAATGATTATTAAATTTTCTCGCCATGATTAAGACACCAATGTCTGTAGGCAAAATTCTCCTTGCAAAAATAATGGAACATGCGAATTTATAGAACCCTATGATTATACTTGCAATTGTATTACTGGTTATGGCGGCCAGAATTGTACTGACGGTATGACGCCAATATAAAACAATTTAATTATTACTCTTAGGGAAATGATTTTCTCTTTACTTAGGATTTAACGTTTGTCTATAATATTAAATAAATAGTATTTAGGATGGTGTGATTTACTACAATTGAGCGCATATTTAGTGCTAAATCATGATTCCCTGCTATTTTGAAGTATCTTAATTTTAGTTAGTATTTAACAATGTATAGCTCTAAATTAGCATGCTGAGTCCTAATGACCTAATTTGAGTAGTTTTATCATAGCTCAGTCACTTAAATAGATAAATCTGATATTAATACTATTCAAATACCCATGCTTTGTTATCTGGAGCTATTTGGTGAAGTAAAATTATCCATCAGAGCTCATGGCCTTCGACTATGGTTGTCATAAGAATCGCAGTTATTTTATGTTGAAGATTAATGATAATCCTACTACAACGACGATTCTTAGTGCAGTCGGAAGCATTCATGGATATTTTATCTTGTTACTGGAAACTTTTCAAAGTAATAATTTCTATTTTATTTAGTTACTAATTTATGCCGTACACTCAAACCGTGTCATCATAACGGAACGTGCGTTTTCATAAAAGACAACGAATATAGATGTAATTGTGTATCTGGTTACACCGGCAAAAATTGCTCTATCGGTCAGTAAATAAAGAAATAGCATTGAAGACTTTCGCTTATTATAGCAATTAAAGCTAGATAATATTTATAATTCAGACCAGTTCGTATGTCGTTCGAGCTCACCCTGTGCTAATGATGGCGCTTGCCATGATATCGAAGAATACCGATATAGATGCAATTGTAAACCTGGTTATACCGGCCAAAATTGTTCTCATAGTAAGGAAATTCGTAAAATGTGCTTAAATAACCTCAATGATGAACTATATACTATCGAAATTGTTATTATTACTAGTCCCTTGTATTCTTAATAACCGAAGTCGTTTGCTCAATCTTAGACACTAACCCATGTCGAACGATTTCACCATGCAAACATGGCGGCTCGTAAGTTTTCAACGGAGATCACTCATATAACTGTTCCTGTCAGACTGGTTATGTAGGCGTAAATTGTTCTATAGGTAACAAGAAATTCTTATTTGTAAACCTACTCAGCTATATTGCTTTTAAATTTTTCAATAAGTGCTTATCAAATATCCTATCAACCAGCAAGTGGCATGCGAACCTATATAATAAGCAAGATTGATAACCTTTTATCGTATCTCACTTGAGAATATTATATGAAATACTGCTTGAAATAAGCTTATACCTGATAATTCAAAATTTTATAATTTAAAAGCGAAATAAACTATCGCCTGGTCATACTATAAATAATATATGGTTATTGTTGTACATGTTGAAATTGGAAATTATAATTTAACGAAATCAATCCGCACCTAAGTTATTATTTCTTGATTTATACCATTTATTTTAAATAAATACTCAGTAGAACTGTATGATAGAAATAGTTTATGATAGTATAGTTTACATATAGAAATCATTGCTGCAACAAAGTGAATACTCTGCACGTAAAATCATCTGATTTAAATGTTATTAATTTAGATGCTAATTTATGTCGCTCAAGTCAACCATGTCAAAATGGTGGAACGTGCATTTACCTAAATAACTACGAATACAGATGCAACTGTTCATCAGGTTACACTGGCAAAACATGTTCTAGCGGTTAGCTACTGACATGATAATTTTGATATTTCTTAATGATTGTCTCGGTAATATGTCTGCTTGATATTTGCGATTTTAGTTCAGTCCATATGTCGCTCACGGTTGCCCTGCACTAATGGTGCTACTTGCCACGATATTGCAGGATTTTTATATAAATGCGATTGTATATCGGGTTATACCGGCAAGAATTGCACAGATGGTAAGTAAAATTCTGTAACAAAGTTATGATAAAGTGAAGCCCTTCGTAGCAGTAAATGTAATGAGTGTTCCAGACGCTGTTTGGTATAAATGATCGCTCTCAGAATCTGAGGGTTCGAATGATTTCTGATGCGCTGATAGCAAATATATTAGTTCTTGTCGATGTCGTTAATTTGCAATCCATGATTATAAATGAAATTAGTCTGAAAAAGTTTTTGTACTATAAACTGTATATAAACTGCAGTATAATTAGAATTAAACAACTTTTTCTTTTAAACAATTTTAGTAATTCATTAAGTATTTGATCAATAGCAGTAAAGTATATTAAGTTAATTATTGAGTGAGCGTGTCGCTAATAGATTTTATGTCCTCATTTCTGTTGCAGATGCTAATCCATGCCGTAGAGTTTCTCCTTGCAAGAATGGAGGAAAGTGTAATTTTGTGCGGAATTTTAAATATAGCTGTAACTGCACAAATGGCTACACAGGCATTAATTGTACTAACAAAAGTGGTAAATCCTAAGCAGCAGCTATAAACAAAAATATTCATTACACTACCTTGACTTGCTATTGATAGTTAAGACGGTAACAACAATTCATCATCATTATAGGTAATAGTATCCTGCCGACATCAATCACAAATTTAACAATTACTGAATTCAATTGCTCTACGATTAAAGTCGAATGGAACATTAATAACTTTCAAAATAACAGAGCGGCTGATCTTCATGTTCAGTACAGAAAACTAACCGAACAGAACCTGAACACATTACCGTCAATTCCAAAGTCTGGTCGCAACAGTATTAACTTGTTTCATCTTGGAATAAACGTAACTTACGAGGTTTCAATAATATTAAAAGTCAATAAAGCCACGAATGAGTATAAAGAATTCCGTCAGTCTGTAAAGCACGTAATAGGTAAGTTGCGGCAAATAATAATTAAACATTTTGCCTACGACTTTGAAGAGGGTAACTTCGAAAGTGGTGGTTTGAATTTAGGGAAGATCTTTTAAGGGCAAATAGGTTTTTAATCATTTTCTATCGGTCATTTAGAATTGCTTTTTGTGATTTAGATCAATTTGGAATAATATAAGAATTGTTTTATTTTTACATATAGGACTTTAGTAAGAAAAACTCTTACTAATACTAATTGATCAACAGTAAGAATTTAACATTTATAATTAACATAGAAACTACATGTGCCAATTCTCCAACATCAGGACCACAACCGACAGTATCGGTACTGGCACAAGTCGCCATGATTGCCGGAGCTAGTAGTGGAGGCTTATTAGTAATAATCCTATTATTGATTGCCGTTTTATTCTGCAAGAGACGAAGCAAAATGTATATTTATATGAATTATTCGTCCAGAATTAGCAGTTAAAACTTAAAATCACTTTTGATGTCAAACTAAAATTATCTTTATTTATCTACCCAAATTCCTTAAGGTGCTTCAATAATAAACCGACTCGACCAGCCCGTTCAATGACATTAACTCCGATGTTATGTAAATTAAACTGATTATACCGTATATTGTGATAATTAAACCTGATTCATGGTTACTTAATGCAATCTTGCAAATCTCACGTAATATAATAGACCGCAAATTAATTTTTAATTTTTTAATTGATCGTTACTCAAAGCGGAAGATGATGATGATCCTGATGAATACCCAAATCGAAGACCTGGAACTCCAATAGCTGTTAGATAAAACTTGAGTTTTAGGATTCATTAATAATATGTAAATTCTGCAGCCTTCTGTGTTAAATTTTTGGTTTACAATTGTTAGCATCTAGAACTGTATACCACAAATAGAATAGAACATATTGATATGGCTGATATGGCCAATGCGGGATCTTCGATGCGAACGTATGAGAGAGATAATGGTATGCCTGTCAATGGAACGGCAACAGTGCAAGATGGCAATTCTGATCCGTTAAACGCTTCTCCAGCTGATGATGTGTATGCTTCCGTAAGTCCAGTCAGAAGTTTACAGGAAGGTAATCCTAGGATGCAAATATAAAACACAACAGAGACTAAATATTGATAATTAATGAAATCATAAGTAACGGTATCAGGTGTGAAAGAATTCGAATAATCATGAAAGCTTCCTGCGCGGTAATTAAATTATATCAGCATTTGCATTACCTAATAATAGGTCCTCACCCATATCTAGACAACGAAACTAGAGCGAGTATGGTTTACGAAGCTTTACAATTTGGTTATAATCCACCTAGTCTACCAATAAGTACACCTTGTAACCAAGTAAATGAAAATGAGCATGGAAGTGAACAAAATCAAAATCGGTCAGCTGGAAACTATATCCATGGTAAGCTGCATAATGAATATAATTTGCAATTTATAAATTAAAAAATCGATGCGGAAAGAGCTGACTGCAGATGTACAGTAACTGCATGTGGAATGAATCAATATCTTAAAACGGTTCTTAGTGCCATCTATTAAATCATTATCTTCATCAATATCACGTTTACTTAATATTATATTTACAGAATCAGAAGCTGAAAATATCTATCAGACTTTGAAATTCGCTGCAAAAGATAATCAGGTAGACCATAAATAACCAAAATGGCTAGCTTATATTTTGCCAACGATTACTGGCTAAAATTGTCTTTCGTTGATAAGACTGCAAATAATGATGCCCTCTCTTAATAACTGACTTATTCATAGTCAAATCGTAATAACCAAGTCTATCTTCAAACTTTGCCTGAAACTGGCGAAGTTAAGCGAGTCATCCATTTGCAGTCAAGTCACGATGATAATGGCAAGTATGCTGAGTTAGATCGAAGCTCTATGTTCTAACTCTTTACATCGATTTCTTTCATGGCTGATATTGCGGAAATATTTGAATGTGAAATATTGATTCTTTCACCGAATAATCGATGATGTCTGGAAAACACAAGTCAAGATATTCAAATCCTTCGCGTGTGATATATTACTATTCAATTTGTATAGATTGTTCCTCATAAATGATCTATATGTTCTGATTACCTCATACGAGTTTAATATTTATAAGATTATCTATTCGTATCTTATCCAATAGTTGCATTGATTGTTGGCTACTGGTTTCTATTGAGTTGTTAGCTTCAGTAGAACGGAAACTTTATGTGATACAGCCTCGATATATCCCTGCTTTATGCGTGTTAGGCGTACGCAAAATCTTCTGTTAAATTCTAGGTACACAGAGTTCCTTGTGAATTCAAATGCAAGAGCTTGCAATTTAAAGTGAAAAGCAAATAATATCAAGAGACATTTAATCGTTTTATATTGTAATAGTTAATTATTAGCTTATAATAGTAACTAGAATTTGCATGGTGATATCTGCTATTAATGCGCAATAAATGAGACTTGTAATTTTATAGTGAAATAAGATAATAAATGTATTAGGACGGACATATTCTGTAAAGCTATAGCATTTAAAATTGCGTAATGATGCTGCTATAATGAATAATAAAGGGGATTTTCATTTCTATTATTAGAAAGGGCAACAAGTCTAGCCTAAAAGGACATTTTTTCGATATTATGTCTACTATTAATGGATAACAAATGAGATTCGTAAATATACCGCAAAAATATAAGGAAATATATGTGGCGTATCAGAATATATTCTTCAGAGCTATAACATAAGAAATTGGATGATGATATTTTCTTTTAAGTAAATAAAAAATGAGATTTGTAATTATATAGTAAAAATATACTTATAAATTCACCCCAAGGCAATAATCACACCCTACCTCTAATTCTGTTTAAGAAAATGAGGAGCATGGTTTTCTAGTATAAATATTTGTCACGAAAGTAATCTTCATGACGTATACTTTATTTCAATGTTCTATATATGTTTATAACACAGAAATGTTTTACGGTCTGCTTAATTATAATTATAGTAGTTAACAGTTGATAGCCTTAATTTAGGATTAAATAGACTAAAATAGTAATTGTCAAGCAGTTAAACTGGATTGTATCTATCATCTCCGAAGTTTTTAAGGTTCAAAGACAATTCCTAAGTTAGAGGAAATGTGTTAGTAGGATAGCTTAATATGCATCCGCTAAACTATTATTAAGCATTGATCATTTTAATACTGATATGGTAAATTTAGTAGGATCATTAAACCCTGCCTACTTTGAAAAACTAGTTGACTCGTATTCCAAATAATAGTAGTGTAGGATAGAAATTACTCTCTCAATCCTTGTTGCAAGTTAAGGCTATTCCTAGCTCGTAACAATATTCTACATTTAAGATAGAGGCAATAATTTTCTTAACTTATTAATTAGAATCAGACTTGTAGAAAAAATAAGAGAATCACTGCTGATATGTGGTAGTAGAAAATTGTCTGAGTATGAAAATTACTAATAGAATGATGGTAGATTATGTTAATACTTGCATAATGATCAGTTTTGATTGGGTAATGACTTGTACATTGAAATAATGCTACGTAACTCTTATACCCTTATAATGTAACTAGTATTTTGATTGTAGACTGTTAGTCATGTTTTGTACAATGTACGGTAGATATTTATCCTATGAGATGTTTGGTAGCCATAACTATAGACTGTAGTAGTATAGACTCTATGCTAGAGTACAGATGACTATATACAGTAAGGTGTTGAGTTACCAATCAGGTTATAGGTAAAAATAGAACTGTAAATCATATACTAGGATATGGTTAATTCATTGTGCTTTGGCTGGTGTGAATAATGTCTACGTAAATACTGTAATCGTATCCATATCGGATTAATGATGGTCCGCAGTAGAATAGTGTTACTAAGAATAATTTTACTATGTGTAAAATAAGGTAAAAGGTTGCCATACAGATTGTAGCTGCGAATGCTACGATAAGTATAAAAAGCATGCAACTTTAGATTATTCTGTTAATTCGTTGTAGAAGTCTTTAGTAGTAGTATTCGGCTAGAGTAGAGCTGTGTGTAGTTAATCTTTATATAAGATTCAATAAAGCCCTTATTTTTCTAAAATTTGGAATTTCGTGATTGGTATATATCACAACCCTAGAGTTACATGAGCTAATATGAAAAGTATAATGATTTATATTGGGTAATAGTTCTAAGCCGATTTTAATAGAGTAGTGTGAGGATAGATGTCTGTTGGCCAGAAGATATTTATTTGAAAATTACGTAAACAGCACAGATAAATAAAGCAAGATTGGATAATTTGATTTGAAAAGAAAAGAATTATAACTCAGTCGAGAGATGCATATAGATAGTAGCCTCTTATCTATTTACTACTTCTAATTTATTTCGATCTACATGTAATTCTTTTAAAGTAAGTAATAAACGTCACTATTACCTTTATCTACTAATAGGAGCACTTCAGGAAAAGCTGCAGATGCTTTATTGGTAGTGGCTACTAGATGTATCTAGATATAACTGTACTGCCCGCTAACATTTATGTTTAACTACCCTTGTCAAATTTGATAGAACAAGAGTAAATTAATATTTGAGAGCTTTTGTTTTCTAACTCTTGATGCTGTTTATTGTCAACAATTTTACGCTAAATAGTCACTCTAGACATACGTAAGTATAAAATAATGTTACCATATTACGAAGGATAATTTTCATACCAATACTTATTAGGATGTACAGGAACTATCTGTGAAACCAACACTAATATTATTAATGAATGTGCTTCCTAGTCAAATACTAGGCTGGGATTGCCAATTATTCGTTATACTTTTGCCGATTGCACTGGAAGCTATGAAATTAATGTCGATGATTTTATTGGATCCTAATGCCAAAATGGAGCTACTTGCATTGACGAAATTAATAGCAACATCTGCAATTTTTTCGTTGGATACAATCATCAATATTGAAAATTGATGATTCTTAATTGCAAGTTATATAATATGATAACTCTAGCATTTTTGCATCGGATAAGATTTGCTTACTGAAGGGTATCTATATTTATCCTACTGGAGGATACCCATATAATTATTATGCCGGTTATGCCAGTCGGATTTATGAACATATGTTAATTCCTTTTACATTTTGTGTATACAAAAATATTCATTAATTTTGATTGTACGTATGTTCTGTTGTAGTTAAAGATTAATTCTACATGCTAATATCCTGCTATTTTATATCTTTTTTACTAGTACTTGTTCAGAGATTAACAAATGCCAATTCATTTCTTGCTAGAATAGGGAAATTTGCACAGATTATGTAAACCGATTTGTATGTACTTATGCTTCAACTTGGACTGAAACGTTATATAAAACCTATAAGTCTACATTTCTCACGGAATAGTACAATCACTCCACTTTTGCTAATCTACATCCATTTAACTTGTATACTCTTACGCAAGCGTCTCAACTAATGGCACTCCAAATAGGAATTCGTGGACAGTTGACTAAAGATTTTCGTTGTTCAATGGGAAAACTTGTCTACTCCTATTTTTGTTGGTTGAAACTGTTAGGTTCTTTAAGCAAGCGCGCTAACCCGAATAGATTTAGCTAATTAAGTTTTGCAATAAGAATTACTGAAGCAATAACTGAAATACTTATTCCCATTTATTCAAGTTTGGTATGGCCTAACAAATTTGACAATCAAGTGAAAACTGTCACAAAAGTAGCACTTGTGTTCCAAATCTTAATTCTTTAAACCTTCAATCTTCGTAGACGTCCAAACTTGTTTGCATATATTATCTAGGCACAACACAAGCAAACGGTTATTGTGAAGCGTATTAAATGTTCTAAAAATTGAGTTATTTAATGTAGTCCAATAATTACTAGTATGTTTTTTGAAATAAAATTACCAGTACGGTTATTAACAATGAAACTCACAATTTAACTAAACACAAGGCGAATGTTTCTTCAACAATACTTATGATTAAAGCCCGATTTTAAAATCTAATTAAGTTAATTTAACGGAGTCGTTTTCAATTCAGAATTTATAATTAATGTAACAGCTTATAAAATTTTGTCAGTTGTGCAATAGATCGGGAGAATTATTGTTTTGAAACCATGTCTTGCATCGTAGCGTGACCGGGAAAATCGCAATAGATGTTTGGGTTGGTTTAGCTATAGTAGGCTTATTATAGGAAGAAGAAATCATTATAAGCTGCAAAGATCTTAACTGTAGGCGTTAAGGGATATATCCATGCGGCAATTGTAGTCAAATTGCTAAATTTAGTAATAGGCAGTAATGGCCATAAATATATTTACGCGTTATTGAACGGATGGCATATGTATGATTTATTATACAGAAAGTCTAAAGCAATAATTATAATAGTACTGCAGCAATGGACAAAAAAGTTACGCAAAGATTACGGCAATCTTTCAAGTAAACATTAATTTAATAACATAATTAGCACCATATCAGCTGTTACAATAGTTATTAATGGTGATTTAATCGCTTAAACATTTATAGTAACACTATAAATTTCGCTATTTTGGTATACGGTCATCGATCAGATAGGATTGTGTTCAGAGATTATGTTTACGAAAAGTTTGCAATTTCTTTTTTAAATTAACTGGTAGTGCTAGGGTTTTACAACCCCTTAGGTTTGCAGTCGTCTAACTCAAAATCTGAATTATTAAAATTGAGCAAATCTTCAACGTGACATAAGATCAGGTGAAGACCGTGTTTAACCTTAAAAGTGTCTGTCTATCAATAGAACGCGTGACAAGAGAAGAATCCACTTTTCTTCCCACATAATAGCAGTCGAAAATGGCTAAGATAAACTGAGTAATCGACTTGGTTTCCACCAGCGCAATTCCGTATTATCTAACGGTTATTAAAAGGTATTACACATAAACATCAGTTTATATAGCCAACTACTGCGGTCTTATACACACATCATACAAATAGTATAAGTACGCCCATTTCATCATCAGTAATCATGAAATTACCTTATAAGTACAGTAGATTATCCTACTTTTTAATGCTACCCTACTTTAATTACTACTGCAATTAGCTGAAACTACTATAGAATACAACAAAGTTCTATTTAGATTTGCTTTTAATTAACCTAGTTTATGGAATCTCCTTTACAAATGCCTGCAATTTTGCTTAGTTAAACGGTTGAAGCTATTGTGATAATAGCCTCAATATTATAAATATCTAACATAACCCCGGGCTCGTTCTATTTCGGGCACTGTATATCGTCTGTATGACTTGTACATTTTTCTTTATATTATTTATCTATGCTTTCTACTTTACTAAAACTAAATACAAACATTATTAACTTCAGTGTATCAAACTATAATAATTTAGTTGTTTTACAATAATTATAGCATGCTATTCAAGTGTAGCAAAGGACTAAAAGTACAGTCCTTTATAGCGTTTAGTATGTAACTAGTATTATTTTACTGTAGAAAATAACTAGAAAGTGATAGTGTCTTTAAGCTTTACCCTGCCAAATCATCATGTCGCCATCTTTTCTTCTTCGTTATTTTACAAGGTATTATATTGATAACTATAGAAGTAGCCCTAGAGCAATTGCCTAATCTAAAGAAAGGGCGTTTGGTCGTCTATTCAAATTGTAAAGGAATTTGACTTAGTAACAAAACCCTATCCTTAGAGAAAGGGGA